AGCTGCCTCTGGAAGGCACCGAGAGGGACAAAATGGCGCAAATGGTCAAATCAAGGTTTTGTAACGCGATCTGTGCCACAGTGAAATGGCACTAGCCTTGTGCAGATCTCCGGGGTACCGGCACTTGGAGCACTTGGGAGTGCACCGGCGATTTTTTCGGGCAAGGGACATCAAATGGGGCCGCCTGGTGGCCTCCGAGCGCCAGCCGAAGCAACCCTCGTCGTGCCCCGACACCCCCCCGACTCATGCTGTGCCGCTCTTGCTTGCCTGTGTGGCCGCTGGCGGGTGCCTGTCCACAGATGCGACGGGTGCCTGTCCGACCGCGACAAGAGCCTAATCTCGCGGCGCAGCTAGAGAAGCTGATTGCAGCGGTGCGGGAAGCAACTGTGAGCGACGACGGCGACTCGGATCAAGTGGCCTCGAGCTTCACCCGCGTGGAGGACGCGATGGAGTGCACTGCTGCTGCTCGCTGCGGCGCCGCTGGAGGCGAAGCAGGCCCACATCTGGGGCGCGGGCGAGCACTTGGGGCTAGAGAGTGACTTTTGTCGATGTCGGCTAGAAGTGCTGCACGTTTTTCAGAACTTCACCCGCAAGAACCATCGAGTTCGAGAGATTTCGGGTTCGTCACTTTCACCGGAGCAAGAGCACGAAGCACTGGCACAGCAACACATTTCACCAATGTCTCATGCGAATCGTTCTTCACTACGTCGTCTCTCTGTGGAGGACCGGGCGGCCCCGGTCTCTCTTCTCTTCTCACTCACTCAGCTCTTCGTCCCGCCCGTGCGGCTGCCGCCGGTTACCCCGGGGCCACCATTCTGTGCATGCAACTGCTGGGACACGCGCTCGCCCCACCCGTCCGGCGTATCTTGGACGCGCCGCCTCGGCCCTTGCGACGCGCCGGCCATCCTTATGTGCGCGACACGCCCCCGAGAGCGGTCTTACGCCGCCTCGGTCTGGGGAGGCGCACCGTTGTAGTTGGACTCCTTCACCACCTCCGTGTATGGCTTGAAGACGGGCTTGCCCGCCTGCAGCAACAGGGCGGCGCGACGCGCTCACACATCCCTAGGTCTACACGCGCGCACTCGCTGCTTCGCCGACTAGCTAGGCCTAGGGCGGGCGCGCCCTCTCTTTGGAGACGAGGAAGATGACGGAGAGCAGAAGGAGGGCGCCGACGACGGCGCCAATCACGATGCCCGCAATCTCGCCGCTGGAGAGGCCGTCGTCGGGCGGTGGCGGCGGGGGTGGGGGTGCCGGCCAGAAGCTCGCATCTCCGGGCATGAGGTTGGCGAGCGGAAAGTCGAACTCCATGAAGCCGAACCGGAAGTTGGAGACGCGGGCTGGAGTGAGGGGGGGAGGGGGGGGGGGGGGGGGGAGTTGGCAATGATGTGGCGTGCGGCTCCGGACCGTGGGGATCTCGAGAGGGCGGGAGCGAACCGTTGTGCACCGCGATCTGGCGCTTCGCGGTGTAGGGAAGGAAGATGGCCTCGTTGTGGAGGGTCGTGAGCACGAGATCGTATTGCGCCTGGCGCTCGTCGTCGTCGTACAAGGTCGAAAGCGCGCGGACGTGCGTGCGGAACTCCTCGAAGGGCATGCTCTCCATGTTCATCACGCCCGCCGCGTCCGACTCTGCGCTGCACCAGCGGTGCGTCATGTCCCAGAGCTTCGAGGTGGGGTCGTAGGGAGGGCCCCAGGTCTGCGAGACGGAGAGGTCCCAGGTATGGTGCTTGGCGAGGCAGGCAAAGTCGCCGTCGTCGCACTCACTGGGGCTGCCGTCATAATCGAAGCCGGCCGTGTAGTCACAGTTGTACTCGTTGTACTGGTCGCGGTCGTTCGCTCCCAGGCGCTCATTAGGGATGCCCTTGGCGTCGAGCCCGGCAATTACCTCGTCCGCGATCGCGACGGCGAACGGGTCGTACGCGCGGTACAGGACCCGCAGAGGCGTGTCCGCGAAGTCGTCGGCCGTGACGCCGGTCCCGGACTCACAGAGCTCCTTGGAGCTCGAGAGCGTGGAGAGCACGCCGCAGTGCGGCAGCGCCGGGTCGAAGAGCGTGTCCATCTGCGTCTCCGCCGCCAGCGCGCCCTGGTACAGCTTGGCGCGGCCCGACTCGATGGCGCACATGACAAACTTGCGCTTGTTCTTGGTGAGGATGGTGCCGCTGTTGAAGACGACGTGGCGGGAATTCAGTTCGGTCGGGGCCTGCTCGGCGACGAGGCGAGCGTTGGTCTTGGCCGCGAGGAAGGCCTCGGAGGAGACCGTGTTGACGCCGTACGCAACGTCGAGCGAGCTGTCCAGCAGGGCGTCCTCGACGGCGTCTTGCGACGGGTACGCGCGCAGGATGACGCTGTCGTAGGCCGGGTTGTTCCTGTGGCTCTCGAACTTGGTGAAGAGCACCTCCGAGACCGTCTCGTGTTCGGCGTAGACGCACGTGTCGGCATTTTCAAGAGAGAAGCACGTCTTGTTGAAGTCGGCGGCGGGGAGCCGACGCGTCGCGCCTACAGAGGGAGTCGCGAGGGTCTTGCATGGGAGGCTTGGGCTCTGTGACTGGCAGGCGTGCGCCTTTTGAGTTGGTCAGGAGCTTGTCGACGACCTGGTACGCCCCGGTGCCGATGGGCGCCTCCACACCGCGCCAGAAGAAGCAGTTGGTATAGCCGCTGAGGAACTCGTCAGCGCGGATCACGTGGTAGTCGGAGCCCCACGGGACGTAGGTGCTGTTCACGCGGTCGCTCAGGCTGACGTGCCAGGTTGGCGTCATCAGCATGCTCACGGGCGCCTCGGCGAGGATCGCCGCCTGGATCGCCTTCGTCTCGTTGACGCGTGCGTGCTTGTCCGTGATCGCGTTCAGATCGTCCAGCATGGAGTCGACAGAGGAGGAGCTCCAGTGGGCGTGGTTTCCGGACGCGTTGGTGCGGAAGAAGCCGTTGAGGAAGGAGCCGGGATCGCCGGCCGGCAGCGTGTGCTGGGCCCACATGAGGAGGTCGTACTCCCCTGCCGCCATGAGATCGTCAAGCTCATCCCAGCTCTCGCTGCTTGTCACGACCGAGGTCACGTTGATGCCCAAGTCCGTCAGCGACTGCGCGATCAGCAGCTGCAACGTCACGAGGCCCGGGCGCTGCGGGTAGGCGACCAGCTTGATGGAGAGGTCCTTACCGTCCTTGGTGCGCTTGGAGCCGTCGAGGGCCCACCCTGCCTGGTCCAGCAGCGTAGCGGCCGCGCTCGTGTCCGCGGCCATGTTGGAGCCGTCCGAGAAGTAAGGTGAGGCCTCCGGAAACATGCTGCGCGTGGGGAGAGCGTCAGGGAGCTCGGTCGGAAAGGCGTTGCGGTTGATCGCGACGTCGATCGCCTCGCGCACGCGCACGTCCGCCAGCTGCGGCTTGTCGGTGTTGTGGAACATCATGTACTGGTACTCGACCTCGAACGACGTGACGCTCACACCTTTTGCGCTGTTCACGGGCGCGATGTCGTCGGCAGCAAGGTGGAAGCCGACGTCGACGGTGCCGGCGATGGCGGCCGCAGCCAGTTCACCGCTGCCGCCGTACTTGGTGATCGTGAGCGTGGGGCGCTGCTCCGCGAGAGGGTAGTACAGGTTCGGGATCAAGTGGAAAGTGTCCGTGTCGAAGTTGTCGACGGCGTACGGCCCCGTGAAGATGTACTCGTCCCCCTTGTTGTAGTAGATGGTAAAGATCCACTCGGCGAGGACGGAGTCCATGATGTGGGTGGAGCGCTCGGACACGATCTTCACCACGAGCTCACTCTCGGCCGTCACCGTCATGACTCCGACCGACGCCCGCGCCTTGCCCGAAGATGAGTTCTTGTCGTTCAGCTCCTGCAGGCACGTGGCGACGAGCCCGGCGGTGACGCGAGTGCCGTCGGAGAAGTGGTAGTTGGGCTTCAGCGTCACGGTCCAGACGTTGTAGTTGTCGCTCACCGGGCGGGCCACAGACGCCGCCACCTGTGCCACGGAGAGAGGAGGGCGCGGATCGCGGAAGAGAAACACCGGGCGGTGAGAGAGGTGGGCGGGTCTCAGGACCTGGCCGACAATGAAGCCGAACTGGTCCACGGTGAAGAGCTTCTCGCCGACGCCGAGAGAGGTCAGCGCCCAGCCCGTGCTGCCGGCCGTGGGGTCGGTGGAGCCCGGGATGCCGGTCTTGCCCACCACGTAGTGCGCCTGCTTCGCGCACTTGTTGGGCCACGTCCCGCCGTTCCGCAGGCCGTTCTTTTCGGCGACGTGCGAGATCCCGCGGTGCTCCAGCGAGGGGAGGGCGGCGACCGAGCTCATGCGGAAGGGGCGGATGGTCGAGAGCTCGCGGAGCGCCGCCTCGTAGTAGGAGGTGAAGGTGAGCGAGAAGGTCATCTCGTCGACCGCCTCCCACGCGTCGAGGTACTGGGTGAAGCCGAGCCAGTCGTGCATCCCGGCCAGCGCCTTGGGGAAGCCGAGGACGCCGACTCCGCCCATGATCTGGTTGAAGTTAGCCACCGCCGCGGCGGCGTTCCAGGGGGTGCCGTCATGGAAGGTGACGCCCTCGAGGAGGTCGAATGTGATGACGTAGCGGCACTTGCCCGTCTCGTTGTAGGCGGTTTTCCAATCCTTTGCCAATGATGGGCTGACGTAGTCGTCTG